AGTGCAAGAGGCCACAAAGGAGCAATTTGCCCAGATCATTCCTGCAGTAGCAACACCTGGAGGCTAGGGGACCCTAGTAGAACCCAGACCAGCCACTTGCAAAGAAAGTGTCCCCTGCTCCACTCGGCCCTGGGGGAGTTTTGATCTGTTCCAGATGGGACGTTCCTGGCTCTTTGCAAATGAGGGGAACCTGGGCATCGGCACAGGAAAGCTTTCGCACTGCCACATCATTAAACCTCACAGGCTCCTCCCGGGGCGCTGAGTCAGAAGAGCAGGGCAGCCAGAAAGGACCCGAATCCAGGGAAAAGTGGGACCCCAGAGGAGACAGACCCTCCAGCCGCCTTCTCTGTCCCGAGTTACCAAACGACAGAGGTGCCAGGGCTGTTGGATATTAACCTAAGTGTGTTAGGCTTCAGTGAATTGCCGCTTTTCCTCCTCCCAGAGAAGCTTACAGTGCTCTGGCGAGCACCCCTAATCCCCTGAGCTGATCCTTCACCTTTCCCTGTAGTAGTTACTAAGTCAAAACCTTCTGGAGACTCTAGACTGGGAACTGAATTATTTGCATTTCTCCTTCCCATAGAGACATTTCAGAGCTCACTACAGAGCAGTGCTCTTTGCTTAAACACAGAGAGACTGTTAATGCTGCGCTGCTAGTATTTGGGAGTTGATTGGCGCTGAGATAGATCTTGGACATCGTCATAATTCCTTGACTCAGGCCTTGGTTTCTGTAGTTCCTAACATCACACAAATACAGGTCTGCTTTGGGACTGGGATCGACCCAGGTCGAGAAGTGAAGCTACCCAGGCATTGAAATGGGACAATCCAAAAACATAAAAGCACGATCTGATGCAAACCATGATGACTTAAGAGACAGGACCCCATGGGGAAGGAAGGACTAAACTAGACCTGAGGAGCTACTTGGATTTACCGGAGAAACCCAGCAGCCTCACCCATGGAGCCCAGAGAACTAAATTTTGGAATCAGTATCTTTTTTTTTTTTTTTTGCTTTTTGGGTCACACCCGGCGAAGGAATCAGTAACTTTTACTGTGTTTATCCAAATAGCTCAGCTACGCCATGGAGTCTCTTGAGCTGCGGCTACTCCTGAGGGTATTGGCGACAGCTGCTCTGCTCCAGGCCTGTCTCTGCTGGGGCCCATGGGTCCGGGACACCAGGGGTCAGTGGTCAGGACCTGCGGGCCCAGCTGCCGGGGTGGGCGGTGAAGCAGGAGGAGCCCAGGTGCGCCTGGTTGGAGCATGTTGAAGGGCGAGGAGCAGGAGCTTATACAAAGGGGAAGTTGAGGCCTCGCTGACTGTTTGCAGGGCTGGGTGGCTGGGAAGGCTTGGGCAGCAGGGGTAGAAGAGGAGGGAATTCAGAAGAGCAATTCTGGGGCACAGAGGGGACTCTGTCTCCCTAAGATCTCTTACTCTGGAATCCAGGACTCTCTTGTTCTTCAATACTTCCAAGGATAAAGATATTGGTCGAGATGCACAATGTAGACATAGGTTTGTTGGAGAGTCAAGGAAAAGAATGTCCTGGCTGGGAGGGAGGACCGTGGGACTGAGCAGGCTCCTCTTTGGAGGTCTCTGGGAAAACTGGGTCCTTGTGTTCTCCTGAAAGCCCCAGGGTCCCAGGACTCCCAGACACCTTGTTGGCTCAGGGCTTGTTTGCATGGGGAGGTCACATCTCTGCTCCCACCAAGGCTCCTGGCTCTCCCCCAAGACTTCTAGCGTCGTTTGTTCTGCAGAGGCCGGCACTGCCCCTTTAGCTTTGCTGATGGTTTTTGGCTGCAGCTGGTCATGCTCAGGCTTGCTCCTGAACTCTGCACTCAGGGATCACTCCAGAGGGGATATCGGACCCTATGGGGTGTGGGAAGTTCCGGTCAGCCCTGTGACAGGCAAGTGCCCTCACCTGCCCCATCTCTCTGCCCTGCTAGTTATCTCTTCATCTGTGACTGAAGGTCCGGGGCAGCATTTATGGTCTCAGGAAAGGGTCAGCTTTCCTGACCTGCTAGAGCCCCGGGACGGGCAGGAAGGTTTAGGATGTGCAGAGGGGTCGGCTAAGATGGAGCTGCCCCAAACAGCCAGCCAGGGGAAACTGAGGCCCCCTCCTTCAGCCCCCGAGGTGAATTGGGAGACAGCTCTGAAATTCCTAGCTGGAGCCCCCACCCTCTCAGCTCTGAAGGTCCAGGAGCCCCGAGCCCACACGCTCGCCCCTCGGCTGCAGCTCAGAGGACACTGACAACAGCAGCTCCCCTGTGTCAGAACCCCTGACCCTGCAGCCCCCCTGCCTGTGACAGCCCCCACCTCACCCTCGGCGAACAACGCCCCCCTCCAGGTCTTGGTCTCTTGCCCGGGAGAGACATTCGGCCTGCCTGCTATGTGCTTCTGAGCAAGGTGACCCCAGGGTCCACTTCTCCCTCTCGAGATGTTTTCATGGAGCGGAAGGAGGGATTCGGAAGGAAGAAACCAGAGCTCGACAAGGACTGGGAAACTTGGGCCTGGACCATCACAGGGAGAGAGAAAAAGAGAAATTTCTAGTGCTAGGCATGGTAGCAGAGTAAGAAAGAGCTTTAGGGAGACAGAGCCCTCTCTTTGCTCTTCCCAACCGTCCTCCCCTTTCACCCCTTCTGTCCGAGCCTCCCCAGCCACCCAGTCCTGCAAACAATCAGCAAGGCCTCAGCTTCCCCTTTTACAGCTTCTGCTCCTCACCCATAAACAGGCTCCAACCAGGTGAACCTGGGCCCCTCCTGCCTCGCCTGCACACCCCGGGAAGCTGGACCCGCAGGTCCTGACCAATGACCCCTGGTGCCCGGGACCCCTAGACCCCAGTATAGACAGGCCTGGAGCAGGGCAGCTGCTGCCGATCACCCCAGGAGTAGCTGCAGCTCACAAGGCTCCTTGGGGCAGCTGAGCTGATACCTCATGGGTTCCCCACACCCGGGGTCTCTTGGGAGCTGATGCCAGCAGCTAATCTCAACTGGCAAGTGCTGGGGCTCTGTTACCAAAAATTCTGTCCACAAGTAAAGAAGAAACCCGCTGCATACAGGGACATGGGCACAGCTGGAGTTTATCACATCGGGCAGAATAGCTCAGGGGGTGAGGGACAAACACAGGTAGAGACGGCTCGCACGGTGTGGAACAGAGAGCAACAGAACAGGGAATAACCACTTTAGAACAGTCTTGCGCTATAAAACTCAGATTTCCAAGCAGCTGAGGGGTTGAGGGGGCAGAGGCAGAGGCAGAGGACAGAGAGGCTGAGGTAGGGCCCAGGGGACTCCTTGAGGAGTGGCGCAGAGTTAAGTCTCTGCATGAGAGCCGCCGCAGAGGCCAATGAGCAGGGAGAGGGGCTGGGTGACATGCAGTGGCCCCACACAGCCGTGAGGAAGGGAAACTCCTGCCTCCGCACAGCCCTGCCCCTGCTCTGCTCCTGGCCCTGCCCCGCCACCTGCACAGTGTCTGCTCCTTACCACGCTTCGGGCAAGCCGGACCTGGGCACGGAGAAGGCCTGGGCCCTCGGGGCTGGAATCTGCCACTCCAGCCACGGTGCCACCAATGAGGGCCTCTGGAGACCAGATGTTTCACAAGCTGTGCGGGAAAATCTGATGCCATGACAGGCCGCAGATGAGAAAAATTAACTAAGTGTCATTTCTGTACCTGGAACTGGAACAGATTCAGTTCCCCAGCAATGAAACAATGTGTAACTGGCCAACCTGAACCTACTGGGGTAGTTTCTGGGCTCAGAAAATAGGCTAAAAAAGTCAGTCACAATGCCCCAGAGATTGTCTTGTTAACCCTAAAGGAATGAGTAGCTTATGAAACCATAAAATATTACTGGAAATTATTGTTTAACTGTTGCCTGACCAATGTTACCCTAGACACTTGTCAAAACACCTTTGTTCAGTAACTAAGATTTTTCTGAAAGAATAAGGCATGTACTGCTTATGTAGGGCTGGAGCGATAACCTAGAGGGTAGGGCATTTGCCTTACATGCGGCCGACCTGGCCGACCCAGGTTTGATTCCTCTGCCGTTCCTGGAGAGCCTGGCAAGCTACAAAGAGTATCTCACCTGCACAGCAAAGCCTGGCAAGCTACCCATGATGTATTCAATATGCCAACCACAGTAACAACAAGTCTCACAATGGAGACGTGACTGGACCCGCTTGAGCAAATCGATGAACAAGGGAATTACAGTGCTACAGTGCTACTACTTATGTAATCAAACCCTATTTAAATTGCTTGCCACTTGGACTTGGGGTTACTATCAAGAGACCACTCTGGGGGTGAGAGAGATGACCCCAGTATACTGCAATGAAACTCCTTTTGCCTTTGCATTGTCGTGTGTGCCCCTCTGTCCGTTTCCTCATTAGAGAATCCATAAACTGGGGTATCACACAGCCTTTGAGTCCTAGTTTCCCCCCTCCCCCAGAGATCTGGGCCTTCCCCCTCCCGCACCTCTCTGGGCAAGAATATGAGAAGCCCCTAGCACTGCTTTTCACACAGGTGGGCAGCAGTGTCAGTGCTGCCAGAGTGTTCACGGTGTCCTAGAAATGAGCACAAGGAAGGAGGCAGAGTAGGGCGGGCACCAGGAAGAAAGGGTGTGGAGAGAAAGAGCTGAGGGTCCCTCATGTCTCTTCTGGGTCACCCACCTCTCTCCCCCCTCACCTCCCTGCAGAAAGGGGGTGCTGCAGAGGAGTCTGGGATTGTTCAGGACCATCCTGAGGTGTGAGATTAACAGGCCATGAGCATGCAAGGCTCTCCCAAGACATACAGCAGGAGTCGCCTTTTTTCATTCCCTGGAGGCACAGACAGGGTGTGGACACTAGGCTGGCCCCACCCTAGCCCTACAGGGTGAGCCAGTCAGATCCTGCCACACCCTGTCTGGCACCCACCCTCCAGGCTTGCATAAAAGCTCTTCGCCATCAGAACTGGAAGAGCATCCCTTTAAGCCTGTCTCTCTGAGCACCTTCCTCTGAGGCGGGAGGCTCTCGTGGCTCAGCATGATGGATCCAAGCCTGCAAAGAGAACGGGAGCTATTCAAAAAACGAGCTCTTTCCACTTCTGGTGTTGAAAACAGATCAGGAACTGCCAGCTCATCGTCATCCTCATCACCAAAGAAGAAGAAAGCAAAACTAGACCATGGAGGTTCATCAGGCGCTAAACAAAATTCTGATCATAGTAACAGATCATTGAACTTGAAGGCTCTGTCGGGAAGCTCTGGATATAAGTTTGGTCTTCTTGCGAAGATTGTGAATCACATGAAAACACGGCATCAGAGAGGAGACACACACCCTCTCACTTTGGAAGAAATTCTGGATGAAATACAGCATTTAGATATCGGACTCACACAGAGGCAGTGGCTTATGAGTGAGGCTTTAGTCAAGAATCCCAAAATTGAAGCCATCAACGGGAAGTATGCCTTCAAGCCCAAGCACAGCCTGAAAGGTAAGAAGGGCCTGCTCCGGCTCTTACAGCAGCATGAGCAGCAAGGCCTGGGAGGGATTCTTCTGGAAGACATCGATGAAGGACTGCCCAAGGCCCAGAAGGCTCTCAAGGCCGTAGGGGACCAGATACTAGTTGTCAACCGACCTGATAAGAAGAAAATTGTTTTCTTCAATGATAAGAGCTGTGAATTGTCTATCGATGAGGAGTTTCAGAAACTGTGGAGGAGTGTCCCTGTGGATTCCACGGATGAGGAGAACATTGCAAAGTACCTGAGGCATCGGGGTCTTTCCTCCATGCAGGGTTCCGGACCCAAGAAAGTGGCCCCTGTCCAGAGAAGGGCAAAGCCCGCTGTGCATAAGAAGCAGCGCTGGAAGATGCAGAACGAGCACTTGGCGGGAGTGCTGAAGGAGTGCTCGAGCTCGGCGCCGGGGAAGTAGTGGCCGGTGCTGGGCTAGCCGAGTCACCCAGAGAATCACCAGCCCTGTTGGAGTCGTGACCTGGAGATGACCGCATTCCTGCTCACCTTCCTCCGACTGAGGAGAGGAGCATCTCACAGTCAAACCTTGGCAGGAGCCCGTGGGAAGCAACTGTGCTCCGGAAACCTGGTCCTACGCTGAACCTTGGGAACTTCCTGGGGGAAGCTGCTGAGCTACAGGGGTCGCCTGACCACGCAGCCCTGTGGACGTGGCATGGGGAGGGAACAGGAATTGAGCATAACTAATCCTTTTTCCTATTGGCTTAGTATGTAGCGTGTTTTCAATTAGGAATAAAAGTTTCTCTGTTTAAACCATCTTGCTGGGCTTTGTGTGTGGGTGACCATGAGACTGAGATGTCAGCTTACCCGCCCTTCTTCTGATCCTAGGGGGACCTCTGAGATATGAAAATCCTGGTCGCCCGTTGGCTCGGTGACCCATTGCACAGTATGCTTGAACTTGAGATTGTATAGTTTTCTCATTAAAGGTTCAAAAATTGGGGGCTGGGGTGATAGCACAGTGGGGAGGGCGTTTGTTGCCTTGCATGCAACAGAGTCGGGTTAGATCCCCAGCATCCCACAGGGTCCCCCGAGAACTCCCAGGAGTAATTCCTGAGTGCAGAGTCAGGAGAACCCCTGAGCATGGCCAGGTGTGACCAAAAAAGCAAAAATAGAATAAAAATTAAAATTAAAAATGAGTTTTAAAAAGGTTTAAAACAAAAATGGAACGATGGCCTCTTTGGGGAGAATGGGACTGCCACAAGCATGGGCCTTCCTGAGAGTCACTCAACCATCTTAGCCTTGTGCTGTCTTGGTTCATGACCTGCACACACCCGTGCCCATTGCCCCTGTGCCCAGGGAGGGACCAGATATCACTTTTCCTTAAAGAGGAAGATTCCAACTTCCCGTATGTGATGCAGACTAGAATAAAGCTGCTTTGGAGAACCTGGTCTTCAGGCCTCCCCCTCAACAGAAACTAGATATGTGCTCCAGAAAGGCCCGACACAGGCTGGATTAGCGCCACTGCTGCAGTGACTCGCTTTTGGTTCTTTGGAACCCAAGCACGACAAGCCAGCGAACTGCGAGTTGACCGGTGTTACTATGCACCTGGAAGCTAGCCCAGAGCCTCTCTGCAGCTGACCCCTGGGAAGGGCAGTAGCATGATGCTGATTGCCTGTGCCCTGTGGGAACGGGGATGGGGGTGACCTCAACAGGGTATGTGATGGGGACCTTGAGGTCTAATCATCCGGCCCCTCCCAAGTTACTTCTTATCTGTGACAAAATAACTCATTCCATAGACAGTATGGCTCCTGGAATAGCTTCAGAGTCTCCCATTGGCAGGAGGTGACCAGAATTTCCATGAAATTAGGCCCCGATGTCCTGCTCTCCCGTGGGACAGAGGTGTGTGCCAAGGACAGCCTCCCCGTGGCACTTCCCTCCATCATGTTCAACCTCGGGAGAGACAAAGGTACAAGGTCAAAGGCTCTTTTATCAAGAAGGCAGGACATCATCAAGCTGTCCCACAAAGCTCTAGTAATTAAAACATCATGGTATAAGAATAAGGACTGACTCAGATCAGTGGGCTCACTGTCACTGTCACTGTCATCCCATTGTTCATCGATTTGCTCAAGCGGGCCCAGTAATGTCTCCATCGTGAGACTTGTTGTTACTGTGTTTGGCATATCGAATATGTCACGGGTGGCTTGCCAGGCTTTGACGTGCAGGCGAGATACTCTCAGTAGCTTGCCGGGCTCTCTGAGAGGGTGGAGGAATCGAACTTGGGTCCACCATGTCGGCCACTTGCAAGGCAAGCGCCCTACCACTGTGCATCGCTCGACTGACTCAGATCAGTGGGTTAGAATAGAAAATCCAGAGCAGATTCTCAGGTGTACACACAGCTAATCTGATCAAAGAGCAGAGGCTGGGAAGTGGAGCAAGGAAAGCCTCGGCAACAAGTGGTGTTGAGAAAAGCATTCGGCCACATGCCAAAAAAATAAACACAGACCCCTTTCTAACACAACGCACAAAAGCCAAGTCAAAATCAAGTAGAGGCCTGAATAGAGAAGATCTGAGGAGAACGGGAGTGGAACTCTCCATGACATTGATGCTAGATGCATCTCTAAGGACTCAAGGCATTGGCCAATCAAACAGAGCAAATATAAACAAGTGGGACTACATTCAAAAGCTTCTGACTTCAAGGGAAGTGGTGCCCAAAATACAGACACCCCACGGAGCTGGAGGGAAGGGCCCCTCTGAGGGGCAAAGCCTCTGTGCTGAGCCCATGGGCACCCTATTCACACAGAGGTTCAGACAGAGTCTCGGGACAAAGAGCACCAAGGTTTCCTCACCCAGCCCGGGGTGCTCTACCAACAAGGACCCAGGAAAGAGCTGAGGGCCCCTCACAAGGTTTCCTCACCCACCCGGGGTGCTCTACCAACAAGGACCCAGGAAAGAGCTGAAGGTCACCCACCTCTGCCCCTCGCCTCCATGCTGAAAGGGGGAGGTGCAGAGGAGTCTGGGAATGTTCAGGACTGTCCTGAGGTGTGAGATTAACAGGCCATGATCGTGCAAGGCTCTCCCAGGACACACAGCAGGGATTGCCTTTTTTCATTTCCTGGAGGCACAGACAGGGTGTGGACACCAAGCTGGCCCTGCCCTAGCCCTACGTAGTGACCCAGTCAGGTCCTGCCACACCCTGTCTGGCACCCACCCTCCTGGCTTGCATAAAAGATCTTCCCCTTCTGCAATTAGAAGAGCATCCTTCTGAGAGCATCCCTCTGAAAGCGTCTTTCTAAGACTGTCCCTCTGAGAGTGTCCGTTTGAGGCTGGAAAGCTGCCGCATTGCTCCATCTAGGGAAAGCCCTAGGTGAGGATGCGACCGAGTGCTGGTGCCCGTGGGGCAGAGCAAAAGGGCAACGCTCTGTTCATGACTGGCCCTCCCTGGTCCTTCCCACAAACGCAACATCAAACTGGCAAGAAGGCAGCCCCTGTTGGAGTCAGCACTCTAAACCATCACGATGTCAGGCCCAAGTGCACTTAGGAAACAGCTGCACGTCCTCTCTAAGGCTGGGGGCGTCCCAGTGTGCAACGAGAAAGGGCACATTGCCATGGAGAAAGTCCAGGTCAAATGGTACTTCCCGGGAAAGCGGCCAGACTATGCCCCCTCAGAATCCTCAGAGAATGAGGCCGGAGCAAGTCCTTTCTCTCCAAAAACCCAGGAGCCAGTGGTGGCACCTGAAGCCTCGGAAGAAGAGCACCCGAGGGACCCTTGGCTCCTGTGTCTACAGAACTGCATCATTGAGGATGCGGAAACACGATTAGCCCGACATTGGGAAACCGTTGAAGCAGGAGGAGCAAGAGAAATGGACTCAGAGGCGGAAGGACAGGCCGGGTGTGTAGCATGGGCAGACAGCAGTGAAGGAGTCGAGGAAGGAACAGATGAGGAGGACGAGGTGCAGCCCCACCCCAAGACCGTCTTGGTTCCAAAGAAGGACCAAGGGGCAGTTCCAGGACGCAAAGCCCCAACTCACAGGGAGCAGGAGGCAAAGCATGTGGCTGAGCAGAGCCGTGAGTGGACACTCATGATTGTCCAAGGGGAGTGCAAGAAAGAGCTGCAGGGGAACCAGCGGGGCCCGGCCAGCATGGACACACTCACCTCTGAGGGGGAGCGTGACCCCGAGGAATACGAGACATGGAGGGCTCGGGAGCTCAAGAGAATCTGAGGAGAGAGAAGAGAGACTGAGGAGAGAGAGAGAGAAGCCGTGAGGAGGCAGGGAGGGAGGGGACTGCGGAACGGGAATGGCATCCCCACACCCCTGCACTGCCACACCCAGGTTCCACGCACGCACTGTCCCCGCAGCACCTTCTTCCTGGGTGAGGATGAATAAGTTTCCAAGAGCGGTGTCAGTGCAGGGACCCTCGAGGGTCATTTTCACAAAACTATTCTTCCTCGAGTCCCGAGTTGAGGAACTCTGGGCACAGCCAGATCCCACCTTGGGGGTCAGACACCACAAGCCCCCTCACAACATGGAGCCAAGACAGTCCCCAGAACTCCAAGTTCTGTCAAAAGAAAGCAGCGGGGTGCGAGGCCAAGGGACGGGACGGGAAGGACTGACGGGCCGCGCTAGATCCTTTCCTGGCTGGGGAACCCGGGAGTCTCCGCATCTGCTCCTTGATTCGCTTTAACCGTTCTTCCCCTGAGCCTGGTGCCTGTCCTGTACCAATGCTTCCCTCCCTGTCCATGGTGACTCCAAATTTGAAGATGCTCGGTGAGGTTTGGACTCATCCTGAGAAGCCCACAGAAATGCACGTTGCAGACAGGACTGGAGATGCCTGTTGGAAACTGGGAGAGGCCATAAGTCCCCTGTGTTGGTGCCCCACATGCGCTTAGACTGACAGCAGAGCAGCCACAGCCACCTCTGAAAGGCACTCAGGAACCCCTGGTTCCTGCCACAGGGGTCACCTACCATACAGTCCTGCGGATGTGGTATGGGGCGAGGATGTGACTTGTGTATAATCCCTTTCCTATTGGTTTACCGTGTTTTCAACTTGGAATAAAGGTTTCTATATTTACACCATCTTGCTAGTCTTTTGTTTGTGTGTTTTGGTGGTAGGGCAAGCCTCTAAGGTGAGAGGTTGATAGTGGGGGGCTGGGGGCTCCCCTGTACCCACTCACTGGCCCCAAGACTCTTGGGAGGAGACCAAGTATATCCTGGCATCTGGCTTGAGTGGGGATGGACACTGAGTGGCTGTAAGACGCCAGGTGCCCGTGGACCGATCCCTGAGGGACAGGCGCTTGGTGCTCCGACAGACTCAGAGCCCTTCCCTGGTCACCTGCCTGAGGACCTGAACAGGGGGCGCCTCCCCTTGCTGGCCCTCCCGGAGAGCCTGCGGGGAGCTGGAGGTGCTGGAAGGTGCTTATGGGACACCAGTCTGGGAAAGGGCCTCCAGTGTGTGAGGCCCCTC